AATAATCCACCCATGTATTCGCCACATTGTTGTATGAGACGCAGCATTCAAAGTGTGAGAAAAAAGTAGCTACTTATAGTCCGGAAAATACAGTACATGTATTTCTATGGCGGAATGTTTTTGAGGCGCAAACATTCACAGACACCGCCGTTTTAAGATTGTCTCAAAACTCAAGAAAAAAAAAATACAAAATGGATTTAAACACACTTTCAGGTGCCTGTGCGCTCTTGGTCCTGTTTAGGTGTTAGATTTTCAACCAAAAGGTGAGAGTGACTAAACTGTTGTGTGAGAGACTTGAGATCTCACTTGTTGTAGTTCCAGTTAAGTCATTTCTTTCTGGTCAGATTGTGTTAAAATAAAGCTCAGATAAACCAGAACTTCAGCCAGAGCAATGCCTCCAGTTAGCATCACACCCCCAGGAAATGTCGATGGCACAGTATCAGTTGCGTATCAAGCTTTTTTATTTGTAGAATGTAGCAGTAGAATGACAACTCTATTTCTCACCATCACTGCGGCAACATGGATTTACTATGAACATTATTCTGTACTAAAAATACAGCTATGGCAGCTCTGTGCACACTCAGAATAGGCCTGCGTCTGTCAAATCTTCTCTCTCTCCTCATCAAACCTCTCCATCTTCAGATAGTGACAGTGAGAATACAAGTCCGAGCAGACCCAGAGCAGTACCGGAGCTTACAGCGGGAAAACCACGCCGTATCACCAACACGCCAATGAATTTTATATAGCCGTGTCTTTGGGCCATTTACCAAGCGCGGGTCTGGCCCTGTCAGAGGAGAGGCTCAACCAACTCAAGTTTAATACCCTTTCATTGCCGTGTGCTGCAGAATTAAATTTACACAGCGTAATGAGTGATTAATTTTTATTTGAGGACGTGCCTCCAAGTGAGTTTTAAACAGACGGGAGAAATCTGTTGGCTACATGTTGTAAAAAGGGTTTCCACAAATGCAGGGATGCCTGGAAAAGTGCTGAAGTGGGGTAGTAATTTGAGGTTGCGTAATAGATAAAGGTGCACTGTGTAACCTTTCTGGAGGGGGTGCACAACCTGTTTGTCTCCATGAAGATGTTAATGCTTTGGTTTAAATTGTCCACAGTATTGTATTAAACTAATCTGTCGTGCATTTATTCAACTACAGATGTAATTATTGCTTAAAAATATCACCTGGAATTTGTCTTGATTCTTATGTTTATGGCCATATTGTGGAACATTTTAGGCACATCTCCATGGAGACAAGGAGGTTCAATACAGTGACACAGTGCACCCTTAACTGTGAAAACATAACATATTGAGATCACCATGTTACTTTTTATGGTTTTGAAAGAGCTATGGTTGCTGAATACAACATATTAATATGTGTAATTAAAGTATTTTTTGGACTATAAGTCGCACTTTTTGGGGGAAATTTATTTTAGAAACTCAGAGATCAGGAACCGAAATTCTATCTTAAAAGGGAAATTATAGTAATAACAACAGAATAGAGAACAACAGGCTGTTAACGTAACACTTAAACAACAGAACAGAACAAGTTAACTGAGCACTGCTCCCTCTTCTGCGTATTTGCTGTCAGACTCAGCATCAGTTCCAGTAAGAATTATTCCGACCTTTCTCAATCCCAACAGAATGGTTTCAGTTGTCACAGAAGTTACTTAAATTAAAATTTGTACAGAAGTAATGGTGTGATCGACTGACATGATACAGACGGGACAGAGGCTCTTTCTGCAGGAGACATGCGCAGTAGAGTGAAGTGACAGTGGTACAGGAGTAATAGGAACAGCAGATACTGACAAACAAGACTAGAGACTCTCGCGACTGTCAGTGTAAACATTTTTATATGTAAGACGCAGAGGAGTACAGGACCACCCAAACCATGAAAAAACTGCGACTTAAAGTCTGAAAAATACGGTATTATGTTTAATTAGTTTCCATTTCATTTTCATTTCCCTCCCTTTGCTCTCCCTACTACAGTAAGTCATTCCCCCTTCAGAGTACTATCTCAACACAAGTGACATATATTCAGCTAATGACACTACTGCACATCACATCAGGTTTGTGAAGTTGTAGTGAATTGTTTTATATCTTGTACATTTATGGAGAATAGTCGTGTGGGAGCTTGGGTGACGTAGGCTTGTGGGCAGAGCTTTGGACAGAATCTTACAGCTAAACCATGAAGAGAGTTTGAATAGGGCCTGGGAGAGATCACTAAATCGCTAAACATGGATGACATCTAAAGCCTCTTCAGCATGTTTTTGATGAGGGAACAATATTATAACATGGTAGAAAGCTCCAAAAAGTTGATAGTTGCATAATACTCTTTAAAGTGAAACAAGAATTCAAGCTAAAATACATCAAAGGCTGTGTCTAAAATTATTTGATGCTAAATTTTCCGCAGAAACGTGGGGTGTCTCTAAGGCTGTGCCAAGTTATGCAACCCATATGTTTCCTGCTCCATATAATGCCTTTTAACTTTAAAGGCACATTGCGTAACATTTTTAGTGAAGGTTTGAGCACCTGCTTGTCTGCATGTAAATGTTACTGCTTTTGTCTAGAATGTTCCACAGTATAGATTAAACCTGCCTTTCACGGGGGACAAGCAGGTTACAGCACTACGGTATATTACAAATCAGATCTGTGGAGAGTCGCCCCTATTCGCAGAAGGAATTATTGTATTTTTGAGCAGTAGAAACACCTGTAATGAATAAATGCTAGATGGATATGTTTAATGTCATACCATGGAATATTTCAGGCAAAACGATAACATCTCCATGAAGACAAGGAAGTAGAAAAGTTACACAATGCACCTTTATGCTAAAAATGTCAAAGTGCAAGTCTCTACATTGGGTTTTAGAATGAAGGAGGTGCCCATTTGTGCTCATATACTGATTTATTGGCAGTTTTTGATCGATTTTTGTATTTTCTCCCTGCAAATGACATGCAAAATATTGACATTCTAGACCATTAGACATCCACAACCTGCTTGTCTCCATGGTGATGTTACTGCTTGGTCAGAAATGTCCCATAGTATTGCATTAAGCTTATCTATGTGTAATTTATCACACAACAGGTGATCTAATTCATTGTTTCCCAAAGTCTTGACACAGATTTTTTTTGGGTCGCCTTGTCACGATCTGCATGGAGGTCTGCAATATACATCTACATCTACATCTACATATACATACATCTCTGCGCACCCCCCACTCCTCACTTTACCAATTTTCTTTCCTTGTTTACAACTTGAGTAGCATATTTCTCAGACTATAAAGTGCACCTAAAATCCCTTAATTTTCTCAAAAATCGACAGCGCTCCTTATAATCCGGTGCATCTTATGTATTAATTCTGGTTGTGCTTACTGACCTCGAACCGATTTTCACATACATATATTCCACTGAGTCGTGTTCTTTAGTCAGACAGAAGCTGACCGCGTTGCTTATAGTTTATGCAAATGAGCCGTGTGGTTTTAAGTTTCGTTTATGTAAAACGTAAACAAATGTGGCAAAGCTGCATTAAACAAATTATTACTCAATGTATATTTGAGTCCTCCTCGTAGGAAATAAAAACGTCTCAAGTCTCAAGCGTCGTTTGTTTGTTTTGTTAATGTGCCTTATAATCCAGTGCACTTTATAGTCAAAAAAATACGGTAATACTAATTTTTCAGTGAGACACGATCACTCACTCAACAATAAAATGGTCAATAATGGTCACAATTTTTATTTTTTTGGTGATTTACGAATAATGTCTGTTGACTTGGGTCGCGAAGATTTGTGACTTTTAAAATATGGGTCTCCAGAAAAAAAGTGATCTAATTGCTCAAAAATACCTTGAAAAACATGCATTCTCACTGTGAACGGGCTCGCTTTTCCACCGATCTAATCTGTAACTTAACCTAGAGGCATCTTTTCTGCTTGCTTGTTTTAATTTAAGATTAATACCATACTGTGGAACATTCAAAACAAAACACAAAACATGAATTCATTGCACAGCCCCATATTACAAATCATTTTAAGTTTATAACAGGCCCGTTGACAGAAATTTGGGGGCCCGGGGCAAGAAGAATCACATGGGCCCCCCTCGAATATTGAGTCAAATTGTAATTCTGGGCCCCCTAAGACGCTGGAGCCCGGGACAATAAACCCCTTTACCCCTCCCTGTTGACTTCCCTGGTTTATAATAACACGACCCGATAATTACTGTATATTTGATGTAAGACAGCCAGAGCAGCTAAAATATTAACCGAATTACATTACATTATAATCACTATTACATCTTTGCGTACATTTCCACAGGCCAAGACATGCGAGACGTATCATTGCTCTATCGTAGTCAGTAGTCGTGTTTCCTCTGGTGCTTTTTAATGGTAGAAATTTATCTCAAATGAATGTTCGCTCCCCCTCTCTCCTCTGAGACATACTGTACTGGGGAACTGTGTAACATTATTTATTCAATCTAATTTCACATCCTCTTTCTGCATTCGTTTTCCTGCCTGGTGCCTATTTGTTTGGCCTGTGGCTCTGTCCTCTTCCTCTCCGCTCCTCAGCTCCCTCTCCTCTTCCTCTCTCCTGATACTGTAGACGTGTCCATGATGTAAACTGGTGTAATGGTAACTACACGGGGAAACCAATGCTATAAAAGATATTTGAAAAGGGAAATTTGAGGTAGACGATAACTCTTGTTCCTAACTATTGTATTATATGTGAATGATTTGGTAAAAACGTACAATTGTGGTTTAGATTTGTGTTTTATGTTTTATTAATAAAATTTTGTTCAAAGTTCACGTTTTAAACTCTTCCAAGAAATGACAAAAAGACTGAAATATGAACTGACACAACAGGGTTAGGAGTTTAAGACACATTTTGTTGTTTTGGGGCAGATTATTGCACTTCAAAAATGGCAGCTTTTGCGATTTGCTAATTGTGTAATTTTGATTTGATTGCGATTAATCTTGCAGCCCTAATATGTGATTTTAATTTGTGATTTTTCTTCTAGATTCTGAGCAACAGAAAAGGACTTCTGCCAGAGCCGAACATCGCCCAGCTGCTGACCAGTATGACCAACCCGGCCGCCCTGCAGATCCTCATGAGGCCGTACAGCACTGGGAAAAGAGGAGGTAAAGACTGGTCATATTATATACACTACCGGTCAAAAGTTTTAGAACAAAACTTTTTCCAGTTTTTTGCCATTTACTGTTGACCAAAATGAATTCTAAACTTTTAGAATTCAGATCTAACAGCTGTGGCTTGTTCTTTTTTACAATAGAAATCAAATATTCTTCAGAAAGCTTTTCCCAAGTCTGTTGCAGAAGTTTCCATAAATGTTTGGCACTTGTAGGTTGTTTCACTCTTCGGTTCAGTTCATCCCAAACCAGATGATGGAGTTTAAGTCTGGACACTGTGCTGGACACTCCATGTTTTCAAACTCACGATCTTGTTCTTTTTTCCTGAGGTAGTTTTGGCAGAGCTTGGACTTGTGTTTTGTATTTTTTATCTTTTTTTAACCTGTTTTAATCTGTCTGTTCAGTACTTACATTTGTACCATTTTCAAACTCTTCATTAGATTTGCACAACTTGAATTCTAGTAAATAACTGGAAAAAATTAGGGTGTTCTAAAACTTTTGACCAGTATATAAAATAGGGATTAGCAATCATTCTTCAGTTATAAATTTAGAATTAGCCATTCAAATGGGAGAACTTGTTTACTGCTTTACATGTTTTCGAAGACAATCTGCTACCCTCCTACTAATGGTCAGTCTGGTGCGCTCTGAGTGAGTGACAGATGGATTTAACCAATCACAGTGAAGAGTGAACTCTCAAAAGTAGTGAAAGTAGTTGTAGATAACTCTTAATGAAAGACAGTAAAAAAAACTATTTTATTTGAAATTGAAAATGAAATTTTTTTAATGAAATTGGAATGAAAATCTTTTGTATAAAACCATGAAAATCATTCTTTTGCACATCATCACCCCTAACTCACATGTTAATGGCAAATTAAATAACCTATGTCAGGGGTCCCCAACCCCGAGGACACGGACCAGTACCAGGCTGTGGGTCGTTTGGTACCGGGCTGCAATTGCTCGAATCTCCCCCTCCCATACACCGCGTGGACCGTGCCTCCTCCTCCGCACAGGCCAGACCAGAATTAAACCAGAACTTAAACCAGGAATAAACCAGGTCTAAACTGGGTCTAAACCAGGACTGAAACAGGTCTAAAACCAGGACTAAACCAGGTCCGCAAAAATATTGTCATATATAAAACCGGTTCATGGCACAAAAAAGGTTGGGGACCAGTGACCTATGTGACCCTTTGAGCATAAATACATTAAACTGGTTGTGTTTAAAGTACAGCACAGTGTACATTTTCTGCTGGAGAGTTTCCACTGTTGTCTCCGTGTTGCTGTTGTCTCCATGGAGATGATATTGGTTTGCCTGGAATGTTCCACTGTATGGCATTAAACTTGTCTCTCCACATAGACAAGCTCATCCACCCCTTTGCTTAATACTCCTGTGCAGAACAGGGATACTTTTTCACTGATACTTAAGGTACAATGTGTAACTGTGTATCATGTCAGCGTGTTGTGTCAGTTGACTGAATGCATGAGAGATAAGTTTAATGCCATACTGTGGAATATTCACAACAATGCAATAACAACACAATGGGGAGAAGCAGGTTATGAAACCCCAGACAGAAAAGTGACACAGTGCACCTTTAATAAAACACAAAGCCTATTCTTCCATTAGCCATTATTCAGTCTCATTATCTCACGCTGCCCGAGTCTCAGTTTCAGTTAAACCCTGATATCCTCCCAGACGCTGCTCCAGAGTTCTTATCTAATCACCAGGTCCATCGCAGGTTACACGCTGATCCAGTCTGTGGCGCAATCACCTCGTCATTATTTGATGAATGGCTAATCAGGTATTAAAATGAAACCTAGCGACATTAGCAGAACAAATGAGTACAGGAAGCAGCCGCAGTGGAGGAGTGCGGTGGCGGCGGCGGCGGAGAGGGGGGAGCTCTTAAAGAAGCGCACGCACAATTAAAGTCTAAAATTAGCAGCTTGATTAAATGTTAAACTTTCTCTTTACCTATTCTGGAAGCTAGCTTTTATTAGCCATGACGGTTAGGCGCATTTATTAGAACAGAACACGTATGCACTAGAGCTGAAACATTTGAGAACAAAAATGTAATTGTGAGTTTGGTTTTGAGCCTTGTGATCTCTGTTTCGACTGAACCATGAACGGGAAACTAATGCAAGAATCATGTTTCAGATCTAAACAACAGGGCCATCAGATTAAGAATAGCTGAATTTTGTGTGTAACTTTTGTAAAATTTGCAGCCTTTGTTTTATTTATTTTTTATATTTTTCGAATCGATTCTCTTAGTAATGAATTTCAAAGGCAGTGCACTCAACCTTGAAAGTTTTATTTAAAGAGGTATTAACCAAAATCGACTCTTTGGAGCTTTCAGCCATGTTATACTTTAGTTCCTGAAGAGGTTTTAGATGTCAGCCATTGATGTTTGAGTAATTTAGTGATCTCTCCCAAGCACTATTCAAACCCTTAGCGGTATGCTTGGCTTCTGCAGCACAATTCTCCATGAATACATAAACACATTGTACTGATGTGATGTAAATGTCATTAGCGGAATGCAAGGCGGTTGTAATGTGGTAGCGCTCTGAAGGTGGAGTGACTTAGCATGGAGAGCAAAGGTAGAGGGGACTTATAAAACGAGCGGGTAGTGATTACACATGGTCGGGTCACGTGAATCAAATGAACAAGGAACGGGAGAAAAAAAACCTGACGCTTATCCAGTCCAGGACGTCCGTTGCCCGGGAAACAAGTGCCATTTTCCGGTCTTTTCCTGGAACGATGGCGAACTGAGAGAATTTTTAGTGTTTATTTATCACATAAAATCATCAGCAAAGGTGAACGGCTCGACAGCTGCACTGCTGGTTTAGTCTTGGTTTAGTCCTGGTTAAGTCCTTGTTCAGTCCTGATTTAGTTCTGGTTTAGACCTGATCCAGTCGTGGTGTAGTCCTGGTTGATCGGCTCGGCCGTTGCGGCATGTATATATTTATTCTAATGACAATGGTTTAGTCCTGGTGCAGTCTGGGTAATCGGCTTGGCAGTTGCAGGGTTTATATAGTTATAATCCACAAATGACACTGGTTTAGTTCTGGTTGAGTCCTGGTTGAGTCCTGGTTGAGTCCTGGTTGAGTCCTGGTTTAGTCCTGGTTTAGTCCTGGTTTAGTCCTGGTGTAGTCCTGGTTGAGTCCTGGTGCAGTCCGGGCGATCGGCTTGGCAGTTGCAGGGTTTATATATTTATAATCCGCTAATGACACTGGTTTAGTAATGGTTTAGACCTGGTTTGGTCCTGGTTTAGTCCTGGTTGAGTCCTGGTTGAGTCCTGGTTTAGTCCGGGTGATCGGCTTGGCGGTTGCATCGTTTATATATTTCTTAATCCACAAATGACACTGGTTTAGTTCTGGTTTAGACCTGGTTCAGTCCTGGTTTAATCCTGGACTATTGGGCTGACCCTGATTTATGATGGGCACGAGCGGGTAACGGGTGGATTGTTAACTGGTCCAGGCGGGCGCGGATTTAACTTTGATATAATCACGGGTTAACGGGCAGGTGTGGTGCTGTACTGTGCGGGTGCGGGCGAGTGCGGGTCTCCAAAAATGGACCCGTGCAGAACTCTGACATGGTGATCTAAGTACGTTAGATATTACCCCACAGAAGTGTAATACCACCTCTTTAATGAATTTTAATCAATGTTATGCTCTATAAACATTTAGCTACACATCATATATCAACAGCACTGCAACAACACCAACAAGTGTATTTTTGTGCTACCAAATAATAGCTTTTTGAAAACATATTTGAGCTTTGGGCCTTTATCGATCGCTGTATTCTTGTTTGGCGAAGGTGTGCCCTGTAGTGTGTCTGTCCCAAAATGACAGATAGTGTTGGCATTTGATTTTGTGTCACAGTGTGCCTCCTTGGGCCCAAACTTTGATTAATGGTTTGTTATAAAAATGTTAAGACTTGTCGGATATGGATTTTTCTGCCGATACTGACATCCGAAATTTGTCTCATGGTTGTGGCCAATTAACCTATATTTTACAATGTAACAAATGGAAGAAAACACTCTGTTCCACCTTGTGATGTCATGCGGTAATAAAGGAAGTGCTTCACTGTGTTTTGAAACTCCATACACCTTCACTAGACTCATTTAGATCAGTGGTCTCTAACATGGAGCTCGGGAGCCACTGGATTTATGAGTTATACGTATTGAGCTGAAAATCTAAAATTTGATTAACTGCCTTGTAAATGTTTAATTTTGTTGCCTAACTTTGTGTATATAATAAATGGATAGTGGCTTATGTTTTATAGGTATCAGACTCTATCAGATCTCAGACTTGCTGTGGCCTTTATTGCTACTCAGTTACTCTTTGAAATACTAAAATTGTAGCTCTCTGGCATTTTTTATTTTGTAAAAGTAGCTCACCGGAGGAAGAAGGTTAGAGACCTCTAATTTTAGCTGATTTTAGTCCTGGAATTGCTCATCTCTACTGAAGTAAAAGTAAAATGTAGCTGTTAACAAAGCTCCAGCTAGGAAGGTGGAACAGATCAATTTGAACTATGGAGATGTAGACTTGCGGTTGTGGCCAATTAACCTATATTTTCCAATGCAATAGAGAGGCCTACATTTAAGAAAAAATCTACAAAAGTCCCCAAATACTTTTTGCCAAGCCATTGGAGACACAGTAAGCAGCATTCTTGCATTGATTTAACGTCATTTTCACTAAGAAACACCCAATTAAAACATAAACAAGTGTTGTATCCAGGCCTGTCATGATAATCACTATATCAACTTATTGTTCAATACATGTTAGAAGGAACAATACATTTGGGGAGGTAATTATTGGTTAATTCTTCTATTTGTTGCAACTCAGGCCTTTTAATGATACAGTATACAGTAGTTAAAAATTTGGCATTACCCTGACATGAGCTTTGTGTTAATGGTATAAAGTGGTTTCAATATTATCGCTTATTACAATCATTCTCTTATATTATGCTTCAGAAACTGGCTAATGCATGTCAATGGCCATAGTTATCCTGCCACTAAAAACAGTCTTACCCACTCCAAAAATTACCAAAGCAAAACTATTATTACGCCAGACTGTCGATGTGAATGTCTGTGTTGATAGAATAATGTTTGAAACAAAACTAACCTTGCATTGCATGAATTGTCGCATGTTGAGGGACTATTTTCTCATATATCAATCCACTGCCAAGCTTTCTATCAGGAAGTACAACTCGCTGCTGCTGCTCAGACATAAATCCTTCAAATGCAAGGTTGGTTTTACTTCTAAAATTATTCTATCAACACAGACATTCACATCGACAGTCTGGTGTAATAATCAATTTGCTTCGGGTGTTTTGTGGAGTGGGTAAGGACTGGATGGAATATTTTAAAAAGTGTCTCCAACACTCTGGCTCACTAGGAAATTATGTCCTATGTCCAAAATTCCAGACTGTCCCTTTAACTTGTTCTTCTTATTGATTTATGCTTTTCTGTTGTGTTTGTTTTCCAGGGAAGTTTGGTCACCACAGCAGCCTGCCGTTCCTCAGACCTCCCCTCACCACTGCACTGCTCACTCTGGGAAAAGCCCACCAGGTCAGACCCTCTCCATACAACCATTCATTTTGTTGCACTGTGAAAGAGGACGTACTCAAGGTAAAATCACTTCAGTACTGCATGTTTTGTTAAGAGTACGTTTTTTTTTACTTCTTAGTCTAGTTTAATTTCAGTTTAACTTTGTATAATCCAAAATCACAGCCACACGGGGCTTCCCAAAATTAACGTTTGATCAACAATAGACAAGCAGATTAACCAACGTTCACAAGAAAGCCGATTCAAAAACAGCCGGTGGGTAAAGTTAAGGTCTATATTTAGATGCGTAATTCACAAACAACAAAATTTGATATCTTTTGAGTACCCAACATGATGCACATGAATACAAACAGTGCAGTTTCATTAAAAAAGTGAAGTAGGAAAAATCAGAAGTACTTACAATATATCAAATACGTACTTTTTAATGTATTTATGTGATATAAGTAGCTGCACTGATTATTAGATCTTGTACTGTGATTTAGTGACCCCTACTTCAAAGAGGTTCATTTGGTCTTCCAGTATAGTCCAAATAAAGGTTCTTTTTGACAGACCAGAGTATTGTTTACACATATCTTTGCATGTTTCCGATGACCTCTACATCTTTCTTCTGAAGGGTCAGTAAAATTCAACCCAACAACTATTTAGTAGTAGTAGTAGTAGTAGTAGTAGTAGTAGTAGTAGTAGTTTATTCAGTCATTTTACAACACTACAAAACAAAACAAAACAAAATAAAACACACACTACAATCCCAGAGTTTAAGCTGAAGTAAAAAGTACTTATAATGCCAAACCCTATGGAACAATGACAGAATTCCAAGAAAAAAACAGCATATGTACAGCAAATTTACATTTACAATTTCACCTACGACTTACTGTATATATAAGAGACAAAATATAAAGTATTCATATTATTATTACTATTACTACAAACGATTACTGTTCTAAACGATGGGTCTGTGAAAAAACCTCGTACCACATGATGTCGCGAGACAAATTTACCGCAAGATAAGGAGAGAAAAATTATCTCGGAGGAGATATATATATATTTTTTTTTACATTTTCCTTGGATAAAATTTCGTTTAACTGTGCTGAGTAAATCCTCTTGAAAAGCCGTAGTACCAAAAAGCAGAGTTATGACAGTAAAACTATTAAATGAAATACATGAAAAAATGTGAAGCCAAAATTGTGAACTGAATGGCACAGTTTCTTTTATATTAAAATATCAAAATCTTGTCAAAAGTCTCGTTGTCGTGGACTGAATCTCATTTCATCTCAGAAAATGTGTCTCATCCCATCTCTACTAAACAAGATACAGATTCTAAACTCAAGGGTCCCATGATTTCCAGTTTTTGTAGTATATAATTGTAGCATACTAATAAACCCGCATCTCCTTCTTTTCTTTTTCAGAGCGCTATGATCGGGAACGGACTGGTCCTTCAGAACCTGTTACACATGCAGCTCGCCCAACAGCAGCTCCTTCACATCAAAGACAAGCGCGTGACCTCTGTAAGCACCTGTATATGTGAAACGCCATTAGCATAGGTTAGCACAAGGGTCCCATGTCCCTGCCCCGACAGTCAAATCTCCTCCCTTCTCTCCCTAATGAAGCCAAACAACCAGGAATCATGCAAACTAATTACGTATTTCCGTGTAAGAAGAGGTCCTGGGGTGAAAATACGGCGTCGCTTTTCCATTTGCATATTTTGTGTTTAAATGTCTCTGGTGCGTTTATTTATTTATTACAAATGTCAAAGTAAAAGTCATCAAAGTGTTCTTTTAAAGGTCCGATATTACGCAAAGTGGATTCTTGTGAGGTTTTAGTCATGTTATAATGCTGTTAGTGACTCAAAATCATACCTGGAGTTGTGTTTTGTTTCATTTACACATGTTTGAGTAACTCTTGATTGTTAGGCTGTCTAAATCTCAAAAAATCTAAGTACTCTGCTCCACCTTGTGATGTCATGAAGTGGTAGTTTTCAAGTTAGCAGCTACCGTTTACCTTTTGTTCAGTAGAAATGATGATTCTAATGATTCTAGTGAATTTGTATGGAGCTTAAAAACACAGTGGAGCACTTCTTGTATTATCACATAACATCACAAAGTGGAACAGAGTGTTTTCTGTTTGAGAGAAGAGCTAAATATATCAGGGGTGTAGTGGGCGTGGTACGCAGAGGTACGCTGTCCACCCACTTCTCCCGACTTGAAATATAAAAAAATAACAAATATAAAATAACTACAATTTAAATGTCAAAGCGGAGCTAGTGGCAACGGTGAAAACAACCTGCATAGACTCATGATATCTGCAGTACTGTCCTATAGTGACCTGAGACGTGAGGGACCAGGACTGAACCAGGACTGAACCAAGTCTAAACTAAGACTAAACCAGAACTGAACCAGGACTAAGTGTTGGGAGGTCGGAGGTGCGCCCGCATAGACCGCAGGTGAAAGGACCGACACAGAGCTCCACGCCCCATGAGGCGAAGCACGATCGCGCTTTGTGGACACACTGCTCAGAAAGCTTGGGGTTCTCCCTCTCACTCTCAAGTCCAAGATTAGTCCTGGTTTAGTCCTAGTTTAGACCTGTTTTAGTCCTGTTTTAGACCTGGTTTAATCCTGTTTTAGTCTTGTTTTTTAGTTCTGGTTACCTCCGCCAAGGAGGTTTATGTTTTTGCCGGCGTTTGTCTGTTTGTCTGTTTGTTTGTTTGTTTGTCTGTTAGCAACATAACTCAAAAAGTTATGGACCGATTTTGATGAAATTTTCAGGATTTGTTGGAAATGTGAAAAGGAAGAACTGATTTCATTTTGGGGGTGATCCAGGAAGAAATCCTGGATTCTGGATCACTTTGAAATTTTAGTTAACATTGTGGTAAATGGGGCCAAAAATTTTGTTTCTCAATATCTCGGTTAATTATTGACCAAACCCCATGAAATTTGACTCAGGGATGGACAATGGGATCCTCTTTCATATTTCCAAAGGCTGATCCGGATCTGATCCAGAAGACTGATTTTATCGCAATTTATATAAAAAATGGGGGTAGTCCTTGGCGGAGGTCTGCGCTCTCTGAGTGCTTTTCTAGTTTAGTCCTGTTTTAGTCCTGGTTTAGTCTTGGTTTAGTCCTGTTATAGTCCTGTTTTAGTCCTGTTTTAGTCCTGGTTTAGTCTTGGTTTAGTCCTTGTTTAATCCTGGTTTAGTCCTGTTTTAGTCCTGTTATAGTCCTGTTTTAGTCCTGGTTTAGTCTTGGTTTAGTCCTTGTTTAATCCTGGTTTAATCCTGGTTTAATCCTGGTTCAGTTCTGGTTTAGTCCCGTTTTAGTCCTGGTTTAGACCTGTTTTAGTCCTGTTTTAGTCCTGGTTCAGTCCTGGTTCATGTGTTGTAGTCTATGATTTATGTTCTGTAGGTGATTATGAATGGTGTTAATGTTAATAACATGATTCAGCATCATTTTGAGTAAAAATGACCTGGCACCTTTATGTTTGTACTGAAAAGTGAAGGTTTTTTGGGGGGTGGATGATGACGTCACGAATCACATACCCTTACTTAAAAAATCCCCACTACACAACTGTTGGAGGATTTGTGTCTTAAACTTGTGTGAATGAAACAAAACACCACTCCAGGTCTGTTTTTGATAAGGAAACAAGATTATCATATAGATCAGAAAATAGTGTAATCTCCAATCATTTCCAATTTAAAGTCTTGCTAAATGATTCCAAGATCTATTTAAACACAGACAGAACCAACCAAAATAATGACATTTCTTGACCCATTATTTCCCGCTCATCATGCCTTCCTCTCTCTGTTTGCAGGTCTCCAGTCTTCTCGGGGACCCTTCCAAGCTGCTGATGCACAAAGCCCTGTCTCTGAGGCCTCCGGGGCTGCTGTCTCTGGGGAAGGGGCTGCTGGGAGATTCCCCTTCAGGTGAGACACAGGGGGGCTCAAGCTGCACAGTGGAAAGGTGTTTAAAAAGCATACATGTGGGAGATGAATATGAATGAGCTATTTTCGGACTACACCAGGTTTCAGTGGAAAAGATACGTGCGTGAAAAATCAACTACTTTTTGTGCTTTCAGATTATATATTCAATTTGTACAAAAAATAGAAAATTCTGTGCTGTCTGTAGGTTTGGGTCACCACATTATGGATTGCCTATAGTTAAAAATAATAAAAATGGTTGGTTTAAGTTTTAGGGATGGACACTGGTGGAATGAGGGTTAAAAAATAAATAAAAATCTTACAGAAATACCTACAAGACTAGATCCACTGTTTTCACAATTAAACCATGACTATTAACTAAATACATGCTTTTCTTTAACATTTTCTTAAACATAATCTTTCATTTTGTGCGATCATAAACAGTGGACTTTTGTGCCTTTGTTAACATTATTATTCGTCTGTATGACCATAAATGAAAAAAGCAAAAGCAAAACAAAACTGGCATCTTTAAACAATGAAGGTAAGAACTAAGGTCCCGTCCACACTAGTACATATTTGAATAGTTTTCGTTGTGGATGCAGTGTTCGTCCACACTAATCCAATGGAAAACAGCTCCAGAGACGGAACGATCTGGTGCCGCCGGCTCCCACGAATTCATTTGAGTACAGATCTGATCCAGCTCTGTGTGGACGCCTGAAAACGCTGATACGCTGATGTAGGTCTATGCGCCGCGAAGTAATTCACATCCAAAACGCTAAGAGGCTAGAATGTATTCATATATACGGTCTATGTGTACGACCTGCAGACGTATAATCTCTGAAGAGTATAACATGAACCATCTCCAACGCGATAGAAGCACAAAACAGACTCACCATTAGCAGAACACCCCTCTGTCACAGAAAAAAATAAATAAATAATCCACTGAGCGGTTTTAAGTTTCATTTCTGTAAAAAGTAAACAAATACGCAAAAAGCTGTGTGGAAAGGGAAGGCTTGTGGACACAGAAACGTGTGGATGCAGATCGTTTCTGATGTGGTGATACACAGATTTGTTTCAGTGTAAACGAGGTCTAAGAAAAAAGATGATTGTATTTCTGTTCGAGGAGTTAGTTTATGGAAAAGTGATGATGAATGATAATTTTAAAAAGTCTAAAACTGTAGAAGCCTTTAAAAAAGAATATAAAGCGTTATGTTTTGAAAGATATAGAGCTCTGGAATGAATTAATTATGAATTAAATTTAGTTTGTTTTAATTTATATTTCATCTCTTATCTATACAGTAAGTTGTAAGTGAAATTGTAAATGCAAACTTGCTGTTCATACGCTGCTTTCTTTGTTGGAATTCTTGTTATTGTTTAATAGGGTTTGGTACTTTTGCCTCAGCCTGGACCATTTTGGTCAAGATGCATGAGGTTGTGGTCTATGTTTTGTTTTTGTTTTGTTTTGTAGTGCAGGAAAATGACCCAATAAAAAGAGGGTGGAAAAAAGGAATAATAAGAAAAGTGAATTGGAAGACTGATGAGAATTCAGGTGGATTCTTTTTTCTGTTAAACTGTCCTATATTACACAAAATGGACTCTTGTGAGCGTTTAGCCACGGTATAATGTTATTACCTCCTCATAAACAGACCTGGAGGTTTGTTTCATTTCATTCTCCCATATTTAACACACAAATTGTGCATATTTTGGCTGTGTCCTTCTCTCTGTTCTCTCACTGTTCCACCTTGTGATGTCATGTGGTAATACAGCTTTAAAATTCCATACACCTTCACTCTAATCATTTGGGTAATTTCAGCCCTGGAATTGTAAATTAGCTTGAAAACTACCACTTCATAACATCACAAAGTAGAAGAGAGCACTTTGAGCTTTGGAGATGTAGACAGACTAATAATAAGGGCTATTAGTGTGAATGAAACAAAACACGACTCCAGGTACTTTAGTTTTTTTAGGAGGTAAAAACATTCCAACAAAAGCTCACAAGAGTCAGTTTCACACAATATAGGCCATTTAACTCAAACCATCATCACATGAAGTTGTAAACAAGAACCAAAATGCTTTAACGTCTTGGGTTCTTTTTAGAGACAATGCAGTAAAGTGGTGACATGTCGTATATCAGCTGTTGTTACTTCCTGTAGGCGTGGTCAGCCTGATGGACCTGCAGGTCACTCAGACTGACCACGCCTCCCGTCGCCCGGTGTCTCTGGAGGAGGGTGTCCCAGGTGTGTGAAAGGAGGAACGCTCTGTCATCACGATTAATGCTGTTCATGCCTCATTTCCTGATTTAAATGGCCTTATTGATCCAGCGTTTGAACTTGTTGTTTTCCGATCCAATGACCCGAGCCCCGTCCCAATCCATAATGTGGTTGTTTCTTTTACAGTGGTCTGATGCACTGTAGTCAAACCATACACAAAACTCCGTCAACCCCAAGGACAAAATCCCACAACAACAAAAAAGCAACGCCATATATACGAAATTCAGTGCAAATCATGCAATAAGTCATACATAGGGGAAATGGGCCGGGCATTTCACATCTGAAAAAAGGAACATCAGGGAGACTCATCAGAACACAAAAAGACAAAGCAGAACAGGAAAACCTAAAATCCGCCATATCAGACACTGTAAAAGAAACAACCACATTCTGGATTGGGACGGGGCTCGGGTCATTGGATCGGAAAACAACAAGTTCAAACGCTGGATCAATAAGGCCATTTAAATCAGAAAATGAGGCATGGACAGCATTAATCGTGATGACAGAGCGTTCCTCCTTTCACACACCTGGGACACCCTCCTCCAGAGACACCGGGCGACGGGAGGCGTGGTCAGTCTGAGTGACCTGCAGGTCCATCAGGCTGACCACGCCTACAGGAAGTAACAACAGCTGATATACGACACGTCACCACCAACACCGGTGACCAGTGTTGGGAAGGTGACTTTTAAAATGTATTCCCCTACAGATTACAGATTACATACCTCAAAATGTACTTTGTAACGTAATCCATTAAATTACTTAAAGTGAGTAACGTAATCTGAATACTTTGGTATTACTTGGTTTGCTGTAGAGAAGCAAAGACCAGGAAATCTTCACATGAGATATTTTATCTGCTAAAATACTATAAAAAAGGCCAGACTTTACTTAACCGTATTAAAAATATTATTGCTAGAAGAGGAGGAGACACGTCCACGCAGCATGAATTAGTCCTGTTAAATCCTGTTTTAGACCTGGTTTAGACCTGTTTTAGACCTGGTTTAGACCAGGTTTAGATCAAGTTTAGACCTTGTTTTAATCCTGGTTTTAGTCCTGGTTTATTCCTGTTTTAGTCCTGGTTTAGCCCAAAATGTGAAAACAGGAAAATACCGCCGTGTAATCCATTTATTGCAACAAAGTAACTGTAATCCAATTACCACTCACTGGAACAGTAACTGTAACTGAATACAAATACTCATAATAATAATAATAATAATAATAATAATAAATAATAATAATTTGTGCTCTGATTACTTGACTCCGGTACATGTAATCTGTTACTCCCCAACACTGCCGATGACAGTTGTGAAGGTGGCTTGTAGCAGCAGCCAGCACATTTCAACAAGGTAAATACACTTTACTGCATTGTCTTTAAAAAGAACCCAAGAAGTTAAAGTATATAAGAAGACGAAATGAACACCATTGGCTTAAGAACCAAAACGGACTCTATCCTCATTACTTTGTCTTCAAACATTTACTTTTACATAGCTTGGAGTTTTGTTACATTCTTCACATTGAACTTCCAAACACAGCTCCATAGAATATTTCTCAGAGCGTATAAAATTACCATCTCTACGTGATCTCTTTATTATTCCTACTACAAGGGTGGACTCGTACTCCAATAATACTATGCTCAGTACTAATTATTATAAAACATCTCTGTAGTGGCCGTTGACCTTTAGAGCGATAGAAGCCACACACTCTCTTTCACTTCATAAGCACGAGAGAATACGACACATTTACAATTCAAATGTCCACAAGCATTAGTCGTGTTTAAAATGCAAATGATATATGATCAACAAAACTCAGTCTGTTCGGTGAATGCATTTGGGTTCGTTCATATGTGTCCTAAAGCGCCCATAGCATGCAAATTTGACTCTTGTGAGCTCTACGACGTGTTTGAATGTTGTTTCCTCATCAAAAATATACCCAGAGTTGTATTTTGTTTCATTCATGTTTGAGTAATCCTTTGTTTTTAGTCTGTCTGCATCTCTGAAACTCCAAATGATGGTAGTTTTTAAGTTAACAGGTACGTTTTTTACCTTTTGTTCAGTAGATATTGGCAATTCCAGGTCTGAAATCATCTAAATAATTCTGTTTGATAGAAGAATTCTGCCTAAATACGCAAGGTTTTTGTGTGAATGAACCAAAACACAACTCCAGGTATGTTAACGATGAGAAAACATTATAACATAGATCAGAAAATAGAGTAATACGAGCCCTTTAATACGCTGCTTCTCAGAGTATAGTGGGGTTTTATCTTTAGACTTATTAGAACCTGATGGTTGTACTGTCCCGTGGAGTCATTTGTCACTGGAATATTGAATTTCACTTTAGTGCTGTTTATCATTGTGCATGCTTCGCTTTGGGTTTGGCTTCTCTGCATCACTGATTTCCATGTCTTCTGTACATTCTACTTTATACGTTAACATAACATGAATACAGTTTTAATTTGAACTTTGAACGTACAACTTCTGTGACAAAATATATGTGTAGTCGGCAAACCAGGGTCGTACGTTCATTGAATTTAAAATGCTCATATTATGCTATTTTTGATCTATATAATTGTTTCATTCAGCCATGTTTAGTCCACAAACCCTGCAGATTTAGGCTGAGTTCTTCTCTCAAACTTAAAACAATTGTGTGTCAAGTCATAATATAGGAAGTTGTCCACTGTGTTTTTAAACTTCAGACACCTTCACTAGATTATTTGGATGATTTCAAACCTGGAATTGCAAATCT